TGAAATTCTCAGTAATCATTTGAACTCCCTGAAAAATGCCCTTTTAGGGTTAAATATCTATTCTCCTTGTTAGATTCTGCCTTGACCTGAAAGTAACAGAATAACAGAGTTGGAAGGGTCCTTGGAGGTCTTCTAGTCCAACCCCCTGCTCAGGCAGGAAACCCTACATCATTTCAGAAAAATGGTGTCCAGTCTCTTTTTTAAAAACTTCCAGTGTTGGAGCATTCACCGCTTCTGGAGGCAGGTTGTTCCACTGATTAATTGTTCTAACTGTCAGGAATTTTCTCCTTAGTTCTAGGTTTTTTCTCTCCTTGATCATGAGGTTTGTGTAGCAGAATAGAGTTTTCCCTTTAAGTTCAGATGAATAAAAATGTTCCAAGTCCTCTCTAGCTTTCTGAAAAACGTGTTTATTGTTTCTCTATGTTGCGCTTGTACAGTATGTTAATGTGGCCTGAAAGCAGGTTAATAAATTAAATACTTCAATATCATTATTAAAATTTTATCTGATTTGAAGTCCATATGTGCAATGTTCAAAATTCTTGGAAAAAACAAGAAAACTGGCTTACAGTTTGAAGGTTATCAGAAGTGTAATTGCATTTGTGTAATTCTATTTTATAGCTGTTATTTTTTGTGATTTTAATTTATGGTTTGATTTGTTGTTTAAAGGCAACCCTCCAGATGCTTACTTTCATGGTTTTTTCTCCCTTTTTTCAGTTTGTAAGTAGCATTTACTATATAGGTCTATTCTTAAATTTCTAAAGATTTTGTAGTAACACTCTCCCTTCACCACAGAATGTAAATGTTGTCCATTCGCCATGGAAGTTGACATTGTGCAAAGCAAGGCTGCTGCTCTAGACCCTTTCAAGTTACCCTGAAGCTGTAATCCTATGAGATCTGAATGCACTTATCTAGTCACTTGATTTCAGTTATTCAAGAGGCAGTATTAATTTCTGGAGGGCTCCAAACAAATACATTTTGGAAAAAGGAGTTAATCCTTGGATATTCATGAATGTACTTTATAAGCAGCCATATTTATGTATCATTGCAGTGACTTTTCCAGCTCAGTTGGAAGTTGAATTACATTCTAGCTCCTTGGCTAACAAGAAAAAATGAAGCTAATCGAGAAAAAAACCTGAGTTCAAAATTTAAAAAATATAATAGGAAAATTATTTTTGTTTGATACTTAAGAGTGATCTGAAATCTTTATTCTATTATTATTTATTAGCTATCTTTGACTTTTCCTGATCCTATTAGTTGAATACATTGAGTTAGATTTTTCTTAATTGTTGAGTTTCATGTAACAATTTCATGGACAGAATAATATTAATAATTAATAGAACAGAAAGACAAGTTTCACTTCTGTTAGACACATTTCCCCAAAAATCCAGAAGTATTTTTATATATTGGGAATGAGAGATGAATTGTACAGTTGAAATAAAGTCATGTCAGATTTATCCATAAATACATATGTCTATTTTATCTAGTACTGCAGAAGATACTGTCTCTTAGTCTAGACAGTGATTTGCTTGCACTGGCATACAGATCTCTGCATGCTCCACATTTTGCTGTTTCTACATGCTTTGAAGCCTGCTTTTTCTTTCTGTTTTAATTTATGTGCATGTGAATTTTAATACGTTTTTACATTGCATGGTTTTGCTTAATTCCAATTCTTTTCATCTTTTTAACTAAGACATCATTATCATGACATTTAATTGAAAATTAACTTTTCATCTTATAGCAAGGAAGGAAAGAGTCTCTGGAAATAGTGATCAACTCATTTTAAAATAATGTTATTTCTCATAATCCATCAAGGACAGGGGCACAGTAGAACTGAAACCGTTCTCCTTTTTTTCTTCTACTTAACTTTTCAAAAACAAAACTTATTGTCTGCCCAAGTGCTCACAATTTCAGTATCCACCTTTTCACAGTGACAAGCTGCCGTATTCCTTCTTCAAATTATGACAGATTCTTGTTTAATTAAAGGAATTTAAAATAGGCCATTCATTCTGATGCATGGCCATATCCAAGACAATGCAATGATAGCTCAGTAACAGTAATAATTCCTCAAATAGACATAAGATAAAATGCTAAATAATGCCCAAGTACTATCTTCTCCAACTTTTTCTTCATATCTGTGTTAAGGTCTGAACAGAATAGAAGTTTAGAGATTTGACATACCTCAAGGTATGTTGGATTTCCATAAATTTCCATCCAACCATTGTTTGCATGAAGCCAATATTAGTAAAGACTGGTTATTTAACCTCTATTCAAGATGCAAAACACCGTACTATATATAAATATATGCATCCAGGTACACCAGACTGTCTGGATTATATAATCAGTCCTTAATTGGTTCCATTCTGATTTTTCCTCTTTCATTACTACAACTCTAAGAGAGGCCAGAAAAAAATGTTTGTTTTCTTGTGTGTTTAGGAGCAAACTTGTAGGTTCTTCATAGGACTTCTGGCTTACCAGCTATGTTTAAACATGCACATTTTCATTTGTAAAATTTGTATAGATCTGCTAATTGGGCCAAATTTATATACATGGTGATCAAAAATAAAAGAATAGTATAGTATTGAAATAACAATAGATGTGCTATGTTTCAAGAATGTGTGATTACAATGTTAGAGAAATTGAGATTATACAATATACCAGTGTAAATTGTAAACATAATACTCCTGGTTTTTAAACAGTTGGTAATGAGTTGGGATAGTATATTTGAGAATCTTTAGAACAAATATTCCCATCTTCCTACCCTTTCTTGCCTTAATTGTATTAAGCATTATAACAATACCTATGTGAAGAAGGCTAACTAGGATTTAATTAATAAGTTTGAACCTGGTCATGAGGAAATCTGATTACTTGAATTAATATTGGTACTAGTATAATATTCAAATGCTGTTGAGCAGGATGAATATGTCATTCTTTCTCATTCTCCTTTTCCAGTGATCCCTTTTTCAATATTTCTGTTCAATATATATATGAAAAGCCTAAAATACATAGTAACTAAGCTCCAAAGTGCTTAAGTGGAAAGCGGATGCTCCCTGCACACCTAAGTGGCTTTCAAAGGCCCAGAGACCTTCCAAAATACCATGCACTAAGGGGGCAGCTTGTGGCAACTCACCACGGATGTGGATGCAACTGTACAGTTTAAGCCCTATCTCCCTTTTTATATATATTATAATGTAGGGCATCTACTTTTTATATGTGTTGTAATGGAAGGCATGTAAAGGAAGGAATGCAACCACTATTTTGCCTTTTTTTTAATGCCCCCTTTGCATGGACCCCCTTATTAGCTAGAAAGGACTTGAGTAAAACAAGATGATCAGGTCCTGAGAAATACGCCATGTAAGTACAAGTTTTGAATTAAAGCTATTGAACATATGTGAGAAGTCCTCCCTGAGTGCCTATCTGTAAGATTAATCCTGACCACATTTATTCAAGTCAGTTCTGTTAAAATAAATGTTGCTGACTTTCAGATATATTTGTGTAAGATCCAGATGTAGGAGTGTGAAATATATATTTAAAAACCTGAAAGGAATACATGAAGTATAGATGAAATTCCTCCAGTATCTCTGCTTCAGTCTTGAATATTACAGACCTCTTCTACCTTAACCAACTGTATAGCAAACAGAAACTGAATGAATAATGTTTTCCCCTATTGAATATAAGGAACAGTTTCAGCTGTATATTGTTAAAAAGACAAAAATCAAGAGCACTGTCATGACTGATTGTATGACTCAGACAAAAAAGTCAATAGCTTCAACCAGACATGTTCATCTGTGGTGTCTAAGAAATCTTATCTGTAAACATATACCATTACCTTGTGAAGAAAAAAGGTAGATTTAGTTTCAGAATTCTCATCAAGAGAACCAGAGAAGGTGATAAGATTGTCATAGCTCAACAAAGAAGGAATTTATCTTTGTCTTCTTCTTACAAATATTTCGCTTTTCACTTAAATTCTTTGGCAACCTAAGCTTTTTTGGAATGTGCCTATGTGCTGTACTTGTAGAATCTATTTAATAAGTGCCATGAACATTTAAAAAAATGTAAATGTTGCATAATTAGAAACTGCAGCAAAAACTGTTATATTCTACATGCGTAGTGATAGCTGATGACAATTTGGCACCATCTTGTGCACTGAAATTTGATTAGTCATTTTAAAAACCTGACAAATGGTAACAAATGAGGCGATATCAAGATCTAATAGCTCTGAATCTGCTTTTTTATATACTCCAGATCACTTTGGATTAAGTGTCCATTTTGTGTACTTTTCTAACTGCTAGTGTTGTTGATAGGAGAACTTTTATAATTTATGCAGGTGGTTCTCAACCTTTCCTTCACTAAGGACCCCCTTTAAATACCTTTTGTGGCCACAGACCATGGCCACAGGCCAGGAAGACTTAACTCAAGATTTAAATCATAACATTTCTTCAAGCCTTCGCGGACCCCCTGTGACGACATTGCGGCCCCCAGGGGTCTGCAGACCACAGGTTGATTTATGCCGTTCAATTTCTGTTAAGGGAAATGTTGAGGCTACTCTCCATGTAATACGTTGTTGTTTTTTCCACTCTTAATATACGCTTCAAATTATCCCTTTTGGGTAAAAAAAAAAATCACAAAGACTTGCATTAAAGAGCAAGTAAACAAAATTATCACATAGTGTTATTGCACTCCCTCTGGGCCTTAGCATTTGTGTACTCACAAATCTACTCACTTCTACTTGACAGCTAAAACCTTTTGTATTTCCCAATGGCTGCTCCAGTCTCATTTGTCACTTCCACTAGTAGCCTTTTAACACAGGTTCACCAACACTAACCTCCTAACGAAGTTTTAAAAAAATGTCTTACACGTGCCCCGAAGTATAGATTTTGGGGATTTATAAATTATTTTACATTACACAGAATTAAAATGAAGAATTTAGACACCTGCATGTGAGAGCTTGCATCTTTTTCCCCCTTTCTCTTGAAATCATTTATTTGTCATTCCTTTCATAGGTTCGGTCCATGCGACATCAATAGCAGCCTCTAGAGTGGAGCAGGCACTATCAGAGGTGGCTTCATCTTTGCAGAGTAGTACTCCAAAGCAGGGTCCTCTGCATCCTTGGATGACATTGGCTCAGATCTGGCTTCATGCAGGTAATGGGGACTGAGCGGTTGTTTCTTCTTACCCATTAGCCCCAGGAGATGCTTTGCTGCATTCAGCAGGCCAGAATGTTTTATTGGATGTCAGCATATAAACGCTGCTTAGAAGGATGCTTTTTTCAGAATGTGGCATTTTGATTCGTTTGAAGGCCAGAACACAGCAATGCTTAATTTATGAAAACTGTGGATTAGAAGAAGGGAGCATTTACTATTTAACAAGCTTGTCAGAAGGTTGCCTCTCCCTGCTTTTTTTCCCCAGCCGCTGGACAGAAGATGTTAAGGCATGGAAATGTAAGATGTCACACTGCAAATTAGGTGTGACATTATTTTCATGAACTTTAAAATGGCATTACTCAAGAAATATGTAGTCGGGACAAAAAGCAGCAGCTTTGGTGGAAAAGATAAATGCCACCTGAAAAATATATATTTTTAAAGTGCTTTCTCAAAATGCATCAAATGATAAAAATAACTAAAAATAGTTTTGGGAGAATTTTTGGGGAGGATATATATGTTTTATGTGAATAAATTAGTATTTTAATTGAGAATTTTAGGAAGTATTTCTGGTCATACTTTAATGCTTGGCTAATTTAGGTTTATATAGATTTGATTACTGCAGACAGGAAAAAAATGTTCTGTCCCATAAGAAATAGCTATGTACATTCAGGAGTTCCAATAGTCTAATTTTAAAAAATGCTATTTTTGATGTAGTATGTTATAAATGATATGTAATACTAGTAAGGTAATATATGTCCACTTTCTAAAAAGAACATTGTGTAGGGAAACAAAAGCAATCCCTGATTAACAATTGGAACTGGTGTGGCAATAGATGATTAATCAGGTATCTGCTCTGTTTCAGGCAGCCCACCTATGCATGTTTACATTAGGCAGTTCACCTTGAGTTAATGTGACATAATGGACTTTGTGAAGCTAGGTAAGCCCCCATTAGTCCACTTCAGTCCACTTCAGATAATAATGTTATTTCAAGGATTAGGGGAGCATTTATACTTGTTTGAAGGATAATATATATTATTATATTATATTATATTATATTATATTATATTACATTACATTACATTACATTACATTACATTACATTACATTACATTACACTACACTACACTACACTACACTACACTACACTACACTACACTACACTACACTATAAAATAGTGTACAGAGGAAGATGCTTAATCCTAAATCTGAATTAGAATTTGAAGGAAGATAGTTTAATCCCAAATCAGAACTTGGAAATTGTAAATACAGGTAGTCCTCAGCTTATGACCACAACTGAGCGCAAAATTTCCATTGTTAAACTAATTTTGCCCCAATTTACAACCTTTCTTGCCATAGTTGCTAAGTGAATCACTGCAGTTGTTAAGTTAGTAAAACGGTTCTTAAGTGACTTACTAAACGAATGGTTGTAAGTTTGACAACTACCTGTATCAAATTGATTGATTGATTGATTGATTGATTTAGGAGATTACCATGGGTGCTAAGTTATATAACAGTTACTGATGCTGGTCAAATATAAACATTTTATATCATTTTGTATTTATGTATACAAGCTAGGCAAAAAGGTGAAACCTACTTATTTTATAAGGAAATCTCTGAGACCTAGAAGGACCATGAGCATTTGGTAATTGGACCTCTCATCTTTTCCCTATCTTAAATCCTGGCTTCCAGTGTCAAATACTATGCAACACTTCTGTTTTTAAATACGTCCAGAGTGACAGGGTGTATAGTATTCCTTCCACCCCTGTGACAGCAAACATATTTATGCCTTTCCTGTGGTTGCTGGGCATAGCTAATTATTTCTGAGAAGCTAAATGTATTGTCCTAGTAGTACAAGCAATCCAGAATGCTTGATGAATTCTTCATGTGGAATAGCCATTTTATGCATCTGTAATCTTGGAGGCTTGAATCTTATTTCAAGCCCAAGGAAAAGATGTTTAGCCAAAGGAAATATTTGTGTGTGAAGTTTGTATCCTGCCTTTAACTTAAAGATGTTTTACAAAGTTTAAAAACATAAAAACAGAATAGAGACATCAATAAAAGATTCTGTTAAATATATTGTATATTTAAAATGGATGTAGCAAGTATGGACCAGCTTTTGCTGAAATTAAAATAGTTTGCTAACTAGTGGCTGGAACAACTTCAAAAAGAAAACTAGATGTACTTTTCTGACAAGGGTAACCGAGAATTCATGGACTTCAACTCCCAGAATTCCTCTCCCTTTCCCCTCAGCATGGCTGGCTCAGGAATTCTGGGAGTTGAAGTCCACGAGTCATAAAAGAGCCAAGGTTGACTACCCCTGCACAAGAACCTGGATCTTTGTGCTCCCAGTCCAACATCTTAATTTCGGTTGGCAGATCAGAAAGAAGGCTTTTGCCAAACTCCTAATAACAGGATGGTTTGTGTGGAAAACTGCAGTCTAGTCAGTGAAAACCAACCTTTGAATTACATCCAGAAATAGATTTGTAAACGGTGACATTTCTTCATGTTAGATGTTACAAATTTAAAATTATTTCGTGTATTATAAAATATTTTAGTAGATTCTGGATTTAATGCTGAATTCATGTATTCAAATTCATGTTAATCATGGGAGGAATATACTTGAAAATATAATCTACAGTTATTAAAACGTGTATAGTTTTCGTTTGAAAAACCAATATTGTAACATGAATGTATTTCAGAATAAATGTACACTCTGATTTTTCCTTAGTTAAAGCATAAAAGGATTAGCATACTTTTATGTACATAACTACCGATTTATTAAAAAATATAAGATTAAAAGATAAAGTTGTGTCAAGTTGGACAGGACTTGACAAAGAAAAAGATTTTCAAAAGAAAAAAGCTCAAAAAAAAGTAGAAGTGGAGAAAAAAAGTAAGAAAGATAGAAAAAGAATTATTATTATTATTATTATTATTATTAATTGAATTTATATACCGCCCTATCTCCCTTACGGGACTCAGGGCGGTGAACAGGCGATAATAAAAACCACGATAAATATGACATAACTTTCCTTGGTACAGATATGAATAAAGAAAATAGCATCAAACTCTTATTCTATGGTTAACATATTTGATTTTTTCCCCATATAATACATTGATCATTGCACTATTATTTCATGTCATCAATTTAGGAGAGCATATGAACAATAACAAAAAACAAGCAAAATTCATTATATTTGTTATCATTTAATTCTTAATTCTGCTGCCATTGTGCATTGTTTCAGTAAAGAAAACAACCAGGGCAGATACTGTCATTGTCATCATCATCATCTAGTAAACTTGTAGGTCGCTCAACTCTCATTGACTCTGGGCAGCTCACATGAGTGACAGTTCTCTTTTTGTAATGGATGATGTGGTTTCTCTAAGTCAGCTTTTCCCAGTGAAGGCCTCCATTTTAAAAAATGGTTCTGCATATTGGAGAAGTCTGTATCTAGATACCTAAACCTACATACTGTATATATGGGTAATATATATTCAAAAAGGCTTGGTGACTCAAAGCAGCAAATAGCTCTTCTTGGGCCCCTCCTGGTCCCTGTCTAATTCTTCTTGCATCAACTTTGAATAAACTGGAAGTCCTGTTTGGCATAGTAAAAATAATTAGATAGGAGAGGAAAGCTTAAACTACTCAACCGGGAAGCTCATAGGTTTACCTTGAACTGATTACTAATATAGTTGTTAAGATTCTAGAAATATACTAGTCAAGGAGGGGATTAACAGGAGTGGGAAATCTATGTTTCACCCTCAGAAACCTACAATATTGTGACATCAAAATTCAGTGGTAAGCTGTCAAACTACAGTGGCTTAATTTTGTACTTTAAAAAGAGCAGTAAAACAAATATATTAAACCTCCAATAGGTAAAACAGGGATGATTATTTACTTTTTAAAAGTTCATATACTGTATATATATATATAAGGATTATGTATGACCATTTCAGCCGTGCCCTTTGCTGTAATAAAGTCGTTGCTATATTCCATGAAACCCTGAGAAGAAAAAGAAGACTGGAATCCTTAGTGCTCTGCACTTGGTTACTAGTTTGAAAGAAGAAGAATTTGCTAAAAAGAAATAGAAGCGTTCAGTTCTTTCAGGAGATCAGATTCTTTCAGGAAAAAGTAAGAAAGCTTATTTTCTCCAGCATTAATTCTCCTGAGCTCCTGAAAAAATCATCAGCTCCTTGGAATATTCAATTTGTTTCAGCATCTTATAAAATAAACATTTCCCGAAGGATTCAGAGATGTAGACAGGAGATTCTATGCATATAATGAGCCAGGAATTACTTTACTGACAGTCAGTTTCTAGTCACTGACAGTCACCGACCAGCAAGTAAAACCTCTTTGCATTACATCTTTGTCCAGAGTGAATAATCCAGGAGAGAAACAAACAGAAAACTTGTTTGCAGAAAGGTAAAAGGACAAGTATCATTTTAAAAAGATCCTTAAATTTTTTTTAAGTACAGGTAGTCCTTGACTTATAACCACAATTGAGCCCCAAATTTCTGTTACTAAGTAAGATATTTGTTAAGTGAATTTTGCCCCATTTTATGACCTTTCTTGCCACAGTTGTTGTGAATCACTGCAGTTGATAAGTTAGTAACCAGGTTGTTAAGTGAATTGGGCTTCCCCATTGACTTTGCTTGTCAGAAGGTCGCACCACAGTGATCACATGACCCTAGCAATGGTCATAAGTATGAACCAGTTGCCAAGCATCTGAATTTTGATCACGTGATCACAGGGATGCTGCAAAGGTTGTAACTGAAAAAATGGTCATAAGTTACTTTTTTCAGTGCCATTGTAACTTTGAATAGTCACTAAATCAGTGGTTCTCAACCTGTGGGTCGGGACCCCATTTGGGGTCGATCGACCATTTCACGGGGGTCGCCAAGCAAGGCTGTCTGCCATTTTTTTGTCCGCCATTTTTTTTGTCCGCCATTTTTTTCCCTTTTCCGGCAGGTGCCTTACCTCCCTTGGGCTGGGCCAGCTGGTGGTCGGCCTGCTCCGTCTCTGCCGCTTGCCAGCTACGCCTCGGCCGGCGGAGGGGGCAGAACCACGCATGCGCGGCACTGCCGGGCAGGGAAAGTCCTCGACTTACGACCGGTTGGGTAGTCCTCGACTTACAACTGGTTTAGTCCTCGACTTACGACCGGTTTAGTCCTCGACTTATGACCGGTTTAGTCCTCGACTTATGACCAGTTGGGGTCACGGCATTAAAAAGGTTGGGAACCACTGCACTAAATGAACTGTTGTATGTCTAGGACTACCTGTACTAATCTTTCTTTGATATTCTATATTCCATTTTTAAAAACCCATCCCATGACAATTGTTCCATCTCATCTACCACTCAATTACAAATATATATTGCTTTCCTGTATCCTGTCACATTTATCTTGTGGCATGATGACTTTGAAAGTTTATTCTTGCCTAACCACACATTTAAAGATACCGCACAGTTATACCTCACTGATAAATTACATAGACTATAACAGTGGTGGCAAACCTATGGCACGGGTGCCAGAGGCGACACTCAGAGCCCTCTCTGTAGGCACGCGCGCTGTCGCCCCAGTCCTAGGCCTTCAGCTGGGTTTTATAAACCCTTTTCGCTTTAGGCCTCCACCGCCGTGTGCAAAAAAAAAAAAAGGTTTAATCAGTCAATTTCAACTTCTCACGGGAAAAAAAAATCTTGCAAAGTTGGAATTGATTGATTGAACTTTTTAGTCCCACCCAGTCTGCCGTTACCACCACAGCCATGCCCAGCCAATGGGCCACACCCACCTGGCACTCTACGATGCATAAGTGGGTTTTGGGTTGCAGTTTGGGCACTCAGTCCCTAAAAGGTTTGCCATCACTGGACTATAAGATCTGTCATTTATTTTCCAAACTACTGTAATGCTCTCTACATGGGGCTCCCCTTGAGGAGCACCCGGAGGCTCCAACTGGTCCAGAATGCGGCCGCGCGGGCGGTGTTGGGAGGGACTCGTCGCTCCCATGTAACACCGCTGCTGCGCGAGCTGCACTGGTTGCCGGTGGCCTTCCGGGTGCGCTTCAAGGTGTTGGTCATCATCTTCAAAGCGCTCCANGCGGGATTGGCCTAGGGAATTTTAGTGGGGTTTTTTAAGGGAAATTTTAATTATTAGGCCATTACAAATATTTCCTTTTAATCTGGTTTTAATTTGATATTTACTGTAATATTGGTTTTATAAGGCTGTCAGCCGCCCTGAGTCCGGTAAGGAGAAGGGCGGGATACAAATCAAATAAATAAATAAATAAATAAATAAAATTTACCTTAAAGCAGAATTTGATAGCTAGGCAGGAGTTCATATAATATTCTAGATATAATTAGCTGTCAGTTGCTGTTATTATTACACAGTGGAATCAAAAGGTGAGGTGACTGCATTCATGGCAGAATAATTCACAAAAAAGTGGGCAAAGCAAAAAACAAAGACTAGCTTGTCATTGTTCAGAAGTCAAAATAAGGTTTGTGGTCTGCAGTAAAAGGTGAGAAGTCTGTCTCTTCATATGTATTCCAGTTATCTAAAAATATGCCTATTTACGTCAAGAATTTTAGTAGGCTTAAACCTTGAAAAGGGAAAAAAGATGGGATGGGATGGATGGGACAAGGAGAGGCGAGCAAATCTGACTACATTAATAAGAGTGGCAAAATACCAATAGCTGGCAAATACCAATAGCTGACAATAAGAGTGGCAAAATACTAATAGCTGTTATGCTGCCCTGTTTAGAGTGACTTGGTCTCTATTGGGTAGGAAGTGCCCCTTGGAATTATTGTTAGGCCATTGTAAGGATTATTCAGACTGTCTGGCAGATGATCACTCAGATTCGCTGCACCTTAGACTGGTGAAGCAGGCCGAGGCACCTTGGATATGACCTCTGATAAGTTAGAGTCAGTGACTCCTAAGGAGGCGGACAGAACTCTTTGCTGTCAGCTCAGTCACCTCTTTACTAGATCCAGGTCTCTCCTGGGTCATGAAAAAAATGAAGGAGATGACCCACAGTTAGGTCCATGCTGCGGTTTCAATCTCTTTGATAGAGGGGATGATGCACCCCTTCCTAAGAGGAAAAATAAGAACAGCATTGAAACAATAATTTTACTAAAAACAAAGCTAAAAAATTCAGAATATAAATACTGCATATATAAAAGAAGCACAATTGTTATATAATGCTTTAAAATGTTAACATCAAATCTTAAATAAAAATATCACCCTCTTCCTATTTTTAGCTATTTCTTTCATTATTTGATTTGGGTAGAAGGACTGCTGAGACTAGTTGGGGGGACAACAGATACCCTGCTATTTCAATGAATTAAATTTCTGGCCTCTGCAATAATGTGTCCACTTTATCCTGGCGTTTTGGGTTTTTTTTTTTAAGATCCCAGAGCAAGAATTGAACTGACCTTTAATCAAAATTAGATACCAAAACTTATAGTTCTGTTTTTATAGCTTCAACATGATTGAATGTATAACTAGATAGAGAGGTACATTGGGCCCCTTTAAGTGATTGACTGTTACAAACTATGAGTCTGGGAGTTGTTTTTCTTTTAACTTCTATCATATTATAATAATAATATTTTTTATTTTGCGGTCACAGACCAAAATGCAAGTGCAACAAAAGAAAACACAAGAAAAATATAATCACAAACAATTAAACACCAGAAGCCTTGGCTAAAGGGAATTACAACGTTCTCCTCTAATAGTTACAGCTCTTAAAAGAAATTTAGAAACCTGAGAAGTAATATAGGAGGAGCCATCCCCTAAACAATATAAGACCAAATTACTAACATTAGAACCAGAGGGATCAATTCCAAGAAGAGACAATAATTTAATTCTGCCTGTGTCATGTGTTATACATAGGGCAGTATGATAAGACATGCTCCACAGTTTCAACTTCAGCCCTATCACAGGGGCATAGTCGCTCACTAAACAGGAGCCTCTTGAATCGCCCGTCGAGTAGTGCTGAGGGCAAGACATTGAAACGGGCTAGAGAAAAGACTCTTCTATACTTGGGGATGGTTAGAGTATAGAAATATGAAGCCATCCTCAATCCATAATTATTAGAATGGCTGAAGATCAAAGGGGAGCAGGTTTTGTTGACTCTGGCTCTTAAATATTGCAAATCTATGTCCACAAGCCGTTGGACTATCCTAAACTGGGCGTCCTTGAGACTGTAATCTCCTAGAGCATCCCCCGTAAAACCTAGCAAGTGGAGTTTCTTCGTCAGCTCCCTCTCCCAACGAGAGGTATGAGAGTCAGCAAACACCAGGGAGAGATAGCTACCAGGGACTGCTGAAAAGAGCACCCGAAACCACCATTTGAAGGTGTTAATCCACGCCATGCATTCGACTGAACGAATGCCCAGTTCCAGGTACATCGAAGCAAATCCAACACAGGGAGGAAGACCCAGAAGTTTCCTAAGAAAAACAGCCTGGGTTCTTTCAATACAATCCTTGAAGCCTCGTATCCATATGGGAATTCCATAAAGAGTTTGGGCCAGGGCTTCTATCATATTTATTTTCTTTCTCTTCAACTAAACAATTTAAAAAGTCATAAAAATGTTGTTAGGGAGCATGCTCTGACAGATTAAGTACATTTTTAGATTACTTGATGAAAATTATTTTATTTAAAGATTGTAACTAAAATAAGACTAATAGCTATTTTATCCAGTTCAATTTCATGGAGGCAAGGTGTCAAAAACTCAAAATAATGAATTATGATATACTGTATATTATGATAGAAATAAAAAAATGTGCATGCTTTTTAAAAATAAAGGAAGAGAAGACTTTGAAGATGGCAAAAGAACAATAACTTAAAAAGTAAAAAAAATTCTGGAGGAAATAAACCTTCCAAAGTGAATGATGTTAAGCTAAGCAACACCTTTTGCAATATTTCCTAGTTTCTAGCTGTATCAAAATGCTGGACTATTTGAGTCTCTTAGTTATTTAGCACATGCCTTAAAGTGCTGCATATACCAAGAAAATTTGCTTTTGATACTAATACTAATTGTAAGATACAATTAGTTCCTTTACAGATACAAGCATATTTTATAAAAATTAGCAGGGAGCCTTTAATTTTATGAGGAAAGGAGTAATGGTAGATCAATAATAATAATAATAATAATGATAATGATAATGATAAAGTTGGAAGGGACCTTGGAGGTCATTAAGTCCAACCCCCTGCTCAGGCAGGAAACCCTATACCATTTCAGACAAATGGCTGTCCAGTCTCTTCTTAAAGACTTCCAGTGTTGGAGCATTCACCGCTTCTGGAGGCAGGTTGTTCCACTGGTTAATTGTTCTAACTGTCAGGAAGTTTCTCCTTAGTTCTAGGTTGCTTCTCTCTTTGGTTAGCTTCCACCCATTGCTCCTTGTCCTGCCTTCAGGCGCTTTGGAAAATAGAATGGCTTCTTGCCTATGACTGCTTTCTTACCAGAAGTAGTTTTCTGGAAAGCTGAGTGAAAGCAGGATAAAAAACATTTATACTTGTGGGAAAGAAAGAAATTCATTCTTTTTTCTTTCTCTGCTTCCTGTTTCCAGCTGAAGTATACATAGGAATTAGAAAACCTGCAGAAGCCACTGCTTGTACTCAGGAAGCTGGTAACCTCTTTGCTATGTCTCACAATGTTCTCTACATGAGAGGTCAAGTGGCAGAACTTCGGGGAAATACTGATGAAGCCAAGCGCTGGTATGAAGAGGCCTTGTCTATTAGCCCTACACATGTCAGAAGTATGCAAAGATTGGTAAGTTCAATTTATGCAGCATAATGTGTAAAAGAGAGATTTATCGATTAAAACACTAAGGGAATATCATTATCAATCCTATAATTAGAATGTACTCAACAACTGTAAAAATATGTGTGGGATAAATTCTATTGACATGAACTCTTGAGCCATTGGTATTTATTTGACCTGCAATAGTGCTAATAATCACATTTAGAAAAGGGAGAGAAACAGAAGACTTTTTTTTAGATATGGTGATCTATCTTCTTAGTGATATGAAAATAGAGAAAATGTGTGATATTTTTGAAATAAAATAATAATATTCTATAAGTAATGGGCCCAGTGTTGTAAAACTACAGCAACTGCAAATTGTTCATTAATATATTCACTTAGTATTCAGTGTAGAGTAGAGTAGAGCAGAGCAGAACAGAACAGAACAGTATTCTATTCCAGTGCCCCCCCAACCTTTTGGGCATCAGAGACCAGTTTTGTGGAGAGAGGTTTTTCCACAGACCAGAGGGGGTGTGGTTGCTATTCTATTCTATTCTATTCTATTCTATTCTATTCTATTCTATTCTATTCTATTCTACTCTACTCTACTCTACTCTACTCTATTCTATTCATTGGGTATTTATTTTATCACATTGAAATAAATCAACTGAAATCAGAAAAAAATACTAGCATATCAACCAAGGGTTTAATTTCATGTACTGTAAATTGCTGTGATATTATCCATGTTGTCCATATTCTATATTTCCCATGTGTTTATAATTTCTTTTAAGAGTACAATATGAGTATGCTTGCTTTAGCTTTCCTGCCAGTTCATTTTCATAGTACACCAAAGTAGTTTTCTAGGACATTTTGAGTTCCGAATAAACACTTTATTTAACCCTGTGAAAACTTAGGAGGCCTTACAGTTATTACTTTATTTGCTTACTCAGCACTACTTAGATGGGACATCACTTATACTCAATGATTTCTTCTCATTGCAAATAGCAAGTTTCTATCTAGCTGTCTGCACTATTATATGCATGCACTTTCTCTTTGCTCGCTGCCTCAGCAGAAGGATTGCCTCTGTGTGCACATACAGAATTAGGAACAGCCTTGAAAAAAGATGCATAAACTATCCTAAGCTCAGGGCTGCTTTAGTGTTGTAGGAATGCTCTGCCCATGCAAATGCTTTATGAAGTGTTTTTTTTTCCAAATGCTTTGCACAACCCAGTGAAATATGCTATTAACTTCTTTTCTAGCTGGACCTTCAGTGAATGTACAAATATCTTAGATAACAATGTTTTTTTTAACGTTTCAAAAAAATCTCTAATTAAATAAAACAATATTAAAAGAATGTTTAATAATACTTTTTATTTTTCTTTATGTGTGTTGGTTATAAAGCTTTAATATATCTCATTATATCAGCTTGCCTATGATAGCATCAATTTGTAGAACAGCGTTTCTCAACCTTGGCAACTTAAAGCCGTGTGGACTTTGACTCCTAGAAAGCTGGCTGGGGAATTGTGGCAGTTGAAATCCACACGGCTTAAAGTTAAGGTTGAGAAATACTATTCTAGAATGAGATTTGTTTAAAAAAACAAATTGGCCATCATTCAGTCTATTTTGATCCTTTGTCTTAGCTTTAAAGGATGTTGAAAGGCCTCTTTTAACAGAATAACAGAGTTGGAAGGGGCCTTGAAGATAGAATAGAATAACAGAGTTGGAAGGGACCTTGGAGGTCTTCTAGTCCAACCCCCTGCTTAGGCAGGAAACCCTATACCATTTCAGACAAATGGTTGTCCAGTCTCTTCTTAAAAACTTCCAGTGTTAGTGCATCCTGTCAGGAAATTTCGTATTAGTTCTAGGTTGCTTCTCTCCTTGATTAATTTCCATCCATTGTTTTTTTACTTGCCTTTTGGTGCTATGAAAAATAGGTTGACAACTTCTTCTGTGTGGCAGCCCCTCAAATTTTGGAACACTGTTATCATGTCACCCTAGTCCTTCTTTTCACTACAGTAGGCAAAGATATAAAGACTATATATATATATAAATATATAATATATATAATTTATAATATTATATAAGATATAATCCATAAAATATAAATATAAAATATATAAGATAAAAAGACAAAAACTGAGCTTTACAAAGATATGTTGAAGAAAAAAATGGGACCTTTAGAATTTTATCACAGAAAAACTTGTGTTCTTTTTGAACTGTCATCCGAAAATCTTTTGATAATTCTTTTCCCCAATTTGTTAAACACTTTCAAGTTGTTTAGCAGTGTTATCGTTAATGAAACGCTATTATGTAAGCATAGAATTAGAAGAACAGTGTGAGAACTAGAGTAAGGATTGTATCCTAGATATCATGTCTGTGTTATAATTCACATTCTCTGCTGTGGGAGACAAAAATACTTCATCACAAAATTATCCTTTGCTAGTTAAGTTAATAGTATTAGACTTATTATATGTTGATCTGTCCAATGTAATTTCATTGTGTTAAAAATTCATTTCATGATGCTTATTCAAATTAAACCTGTGGTGTATAGAGCTCAATGGAAGAATTATAATTCTCCACTTTAATCTGACTTCTTTATTCAAAATGAAAAGCTTGTTTCCTCAAAGGCTTCTGTAAATTATTCAGAGAGGTTTTTCCTCATACATTCCTGAGGGAACGCATAAGACAAAAAATTACAAAGGAACAGAGAATACAGGGAAGTATTTTTATGTTACCTTTCTGGCTTTTCAAGATAATTGAACACATTGATAAATGCCAAAGGGTGCCTTGTAAAGAAGGTAGGCGTTGTACCCGAAGTAGTACACTTACAATGTCTTTCTTTTCCATTTGAATTCACTTGAAATAAAGGGCCTCTCCATGCACATTGCATTCCCCCTAGAGGCACTCTGCTGTTCATCAAGGGTAGAAGTTCTTGTTTAACAGGAAATAGACAAGAAAAAAATTCCCTTAAAGCTGAAGGTGCTTCCAGTTTCTTTACTGTAGTATCATAGGATACTTTTTCAGGTGCTGGCCAGACTTTCTATACCACCCATGTTTTTAGATTTTAAAAATAAAAGCAATAGAAGGCTGGCATGCATGAAAACAAAACACCAGTGCCAAATATTATCTGATTTTCCAAAATGAGTCTGAGATAAAGCCCATTAGGATTAGTGGGTCCCGTGCTTAGTTTGTAGCCTGTCCAGAAAAATAATAAGGACAGTGATTGGTAAGGAGAGAGTGCTGGGTCACATTTTAATAAAATAATTATTTTAACATGCTTATATACTCCATGGTAGTTTTTCCCTGAATGCTTAAGGTTCTGAACTGCCTTTGTGTAAGAGTATATAGAAATTTATATGGAGCAGTTGGCAAAATGATAGTGGGAATAAAACCAGAATCACCACATATAGATTTAATATGCTAAAGGCACATGCTGTAGAAACAGTGAAGCCTCTAATCATGACAGGATCACTATGGGGGGTATGTCGCCTCATAGACATCTATTTATGTATGTATGCATGTATGTATGTATGTATTTAATTCATTCATTCATTCATTTAAAAGATTTGTATAGCACCATAATCTGGGTGGCTCATAAACTATTATATTAATATTGTAAAAACAATATTATACATCAAAAGACTTTCTGCTGTTCTCTTACTATGAAGCTAGAATATTATTTTTCTCAAATCTGTGAAATCAGCTTATTTAAAAAGTATAATCTATCCATTATGTAGATTGTTTCATGACACTGAAGCAGACTGCTGGGCCCTAAGGACTGAATAGAGTCACCGAACAAAATATATCTTTATGTACTATGTGCATCTTCCTGTAATTAAATATCTGGGATAGACAAAGTGATGAGGCTTGCTAACTTACAGAATGATAATCAGAGCTGAAGAAGGGGCCTGAAGCCTTTCTTCAACTTCTATCTAACTTTTTTTGTAGAAATGCTTAATGCCTTTAGCAAACCTCTAGAAATGGACAAGAAGTTCTTATATTTCACTTGAGAGACAGTTTTAGGCCCCAGGCTAAAAAGTGGAAGACCACAAGTTCTATCATGCCTTAGGCATGGAGTCAGCTGGGTGATCTTGAGCCAGTCCCTCACTTACAGCCCTAGGAAGAAGGCAAACCATCACCAAAACTTTTGCCAAGAAAACTGCAAGGACTAGTCTAGGCAGTCGTCAGGAATCAGCACTGATGCAAAGGCACAAAAGAACCCCCAAAATCTTCACTTAACATGTTTTATTCCATATCCGTTGCTTTCCTAATTTATTAAAATGGATATTAATGTGTCTTTCATTCATTGTTTATATAACCAATATCTCCCCTGTAGGTAGTTTCTAGTACAGTGGTTCTCAACCTGTGGGTCGGGACCCCATTTGGGGTCGATCGACCATTTCATGGGGGTCGCCAAGCAAGGCTGTCTATCATTTTTTTTGTCCGCCATTTTTTCCCCTTTTCCGGCAGGTGGCTTACCTCCCTTGGGCTGGGCCAGCTGGTGGTCGGCCTGTTCCGTCTCTGCCGCTTGCCAACTACGCCTCGGCCGGCGCAGGGGGCGGAACCACGCATGTGCGGCGCTCCTGGGCAGGGAAAGTCCTTGACTTACGACTGGTTGGGTAGTCCTCAACTTACGACCGGTTTAGTCCTCGACTTACGACCGGTTTAGTCCTCGACTTACAACCGGTTTAGTCCTCGACTTACGACCGGTTGGGGTCGCGGCATTAAAAAGGTTGAGAACCACTGTTCTAGTATAACATTAAGTAGAATGTTTTACTGTGGTCTGTGGTGAATAATATCATATTTTTCTTTTTATTTGAATAAACTTACCCTTTTCACTGAAAACATGCTTTGGGATTCCTGGGCTGCTGTCTCCTTAGGATTAATCTGGGGGAGGAGAAGAAGGTATACTCCTTCTGCAGCAGTAATTAAAAGTGATTATTTTAATTGATAATAAATTGAATAAATACACTTGGGCAAAAATGTATCTTCAAACAGGTTGAAGTTCCTTGCTCTTGTTTTCACTTGGG